TGAGAATATTATCGTGTACGGGCAAGTGAAGAAGCCTTAGCAGCTTTAAGAAAGGAGAAAGGTGGTGTAAAAATATTTCAATTAATTAATTACTGTAATAAGAACAATTGGCCAGTATGTTGCGCCAGATGTCTTGTTGACTTTTGCTGCTGCTCCAGTCCCCCAAATTTCACAACATTCATATCTTAACAAGAGATCTGATGACCCTGAAAGTTTGCTTGGCTTGTAAAGTTTTTGTGATCCCATAGATATTATCCGACCCAGAAGTCTGTAGCAAGAAATAAACTTCTGTAAAATCTGATTAGCACTGTACAACGGTAATGAAGCGTCTAAGATGCTTTTGAATCGCATGCATCCATGAACGTAGATAATTCTGAAATTGTGAAATTCACATCTCCAACAAATGTTTGCATAGCTGATATAACGACGTTTATTCCTGGGATGTAGGCATGATATATCATGTGACAGAATGCACAAGACATTCCAGTTATCCGTATCACAAGAAACATGGGGTTTGCTGTCTGCATTTATTCCCTGAGGAAATATTCTTAACTGAGCTCACTGTGACACAGCAAACTAATCAGGCACTGGGCATGTTATGAAATACATGCCAAATGTGCAACAGCATCCCAGTAATGTGAGCAGTGCCTTGTTACCACCAATTTGCCACAGTGAACTATGTAATTTAAATTAAATGCACTTAAACCAACAAGATTTCAGCCATAATTTTACTAACAGCCTAGAAACAAGGTCATCCAAATTTTAAAAAGTAATGTATTCGCGAAGGCTTTCACGGCTGGGATCTAATGGTTGTTGTGGGTTTTTCGGGCTCTTTGGCTGTGTTCTGAAGGTTGTTCTTCCTAACGTTTCGCCAGTCTCCGTGGCTGGCATCTTCAGAGGACAGCACTCTATGCTCTTTAAAAAGTAAATTCCATGGAGGGTACAGGAAAAAAAATTATGTTGATCCAATATTGCTAATTGAAATGTAGTAGTTTTCAACTAATTCCTAGGATGAAGATTCTTTATCTGCTTGAGGTAAAAATGGTTTAAAATCTGCTTTAAAAACTGGGGGGATGTGAAACAAGCTTGAAGAGCCAAATATATTAAGGATGGTTGTTACAGAACCAGAACAATTACCGGAAAGGATTTACACATGATGTTTAGTATGGCTAGAATAAAAATGAAATGTTCTTCGGAGACTACAAAATTTGATGTGGGAAAACAATGCCCATCTGAACAGACGTGAGACGCCTGGCATGTTTCACGCTGCCCAGCATGTTAGAGTGACATAAATAGCTCAAATCGGCATAAATTGCCAAACATTTCCCCATTTCCAAAATGTTTAAAAACTCCACTGTTCTGTCATATACTGACCTGGCAACTCCTGATCCAATAAGCACAATTAAATATAAGATATCTAAATGCAGAATATGCTTACATTCAAAGAACCAAGACCAGAATTAGTGGATGTGTTAGTCTGGCTCCATGAATGCTCACCAGAGCACTAGGAAGGAGTTAAGGAACATGTGGTCTTTCAAGTACTAGTGGACTCCAATACGCATCAGCCCTTCCCAACCTGAACAATTCTGACTATGATAAAGTATAAGTTCCCAGCCTGTGGTAGGCTGCGTGTCCCTCAGCCCTATACCTGGCTTCATACAGTATAGCACCATAGTGCATAATGGTATGTTATAGGAAATGCGGTGAATATGTTTTGGCAATAGTGATGAATAGAGATGGGTATTTACCATGGTTCAGCAGATCAGGCCCACCTGTCTCCTCGTGTGGGTGCCCACTCAGAGGAGGTGGGGCAGGGAAGCCCGTGGTGCTGCTTCAGGTGGGGCAACCATGGGAGGAGGTGGGATGTGGAATCTGGGGTGTCCACACAACACTTGCGGGCCTGATCTGCCAAAACTCTCCGAAGCACAGTAAGTGCCCATCTCCAAGGGTGAGCTGTGTTAATTTATTGCAGCCAAACCCACAAACATTTTTGTCACCTCAAAGTCTAAGACGTTCTACTTGGTGTGCACTTTTATGGCAGCAGCTCAGAATCTGATAGATTTGACTAGGTGAGCTGCAATCAATGAAAGCATATGGCACATAAAAAGTGTCTATCTTTCAAACACCACAAGACCTTTTGTTGTTTATGGTGAATAATGCAAGTATAAGTGAAAAGCTCTACTGGGTCTCCCTTTCAAAGTTACCAAAAGGAATTTTTGAAGAAACTTCTATACAATCATGTGAAAAAGAAAGTACTTTCTTTGAATTCTATGGTTTTACATCTCAGGATATACTAAAAATCATCTGGTCCTTTGCAGGTCTGAAAATTCAGTAAATACAACCTCAGATGAACAACAACACATTACATATTACACCATATCATGACTTATTTTACAAAAATAAAGGCAAAATAGAAATGCCATGTGTGAAAAACTAAGTACACATTTACTGCTTCCATAGGAATTAAGAGGCAAAGTAGCGGTCAGGTACTGCTAACCAATTGCCCTTGAGTACTTGAATGCCCTTGAATGCCCAGAAAGTGTGACCATCTCTCTAAAAGCCGAAGTTTTATCAGTTTGCTGGTCTGGAGCATTTTTAACACAATGCCAAGGAGGAAGCATACCAGCAATGATTGTAGAGAAGCAATTGTTGCTGCCCATCAATCTGGGAAAGTTTATCAGACCATTTCCAAAGAATTTAAAGTCCATTATTTTACAGTGGGAAAAATTATTCAGAAGTGGAAAACATTTAAGACAGTTTCCAATCTTCCAAACCACAAGATTTCTGGAACAATGTCCTTTGGACAGATGAGACCAAAGTGGAGATGGTTGGTCGTAATGCACAGCACCACATTTGGTGAAATCCAAACACAGCATATCGGCACAAACTCCTCATACCAATTGGTGGTGGAGGGGTGATGATTTGGACTTGCTTTGCAGCAACAGGACCTGTGCACCTTGCAGTCACTAAATCGACCATGAACTCTGTATACCGAATTATTCTCAAGTCAAATGTGAGGCCATCTGTCTGACAGCTAACGCCTTGCTGAAAGTGAGTCATGCAACAGGACAATGATCCCAAGCACATCAGCAAATCTACAACAGAATGGCTGAAAAAGAAAAGAATCAAGGTGTTGCAATGGTCCAGTCAAAAGTCCAGACCTCAAGCCGACTGAAATGCTATGGTGGGACCTTAAGAGAGCTGTGCATAAACAAATGCCCACAAACCTCAATGAACTGTATCAATGTTGTAAAGAAGAGTGGACCAAAATTCCTCCATAACAATATGAAAGACTGATAAAGTCATACAGAAGACAATTACTCCAAGCTATTGATGCTAAAGGTGGTTCTACAAGCTACTGAATCATAATGTATTTCACACATGGCTTCTCCATTTTTCCCTTTATTTTTGTAAAATAAATCGTAATATAGTATAATATGTCATGTCACTCACCTGAGCTTGTATTTACCTAATTTGCAGTCCTGCTAAAATACCAGATGATTTTTATTATGTCCTGATAAGTAAAACCAAAGAATTCAAAGAGGATGTACTTTCTTTTTGGCATGACTGTAAGTAAAGGAACGTCTGTGAATTCAGGGTCACTTTCACCATGCAGTGCTCTTCTTCTACACAAGAAACAGCCATTTGGTAACTGCAAGAGGCTTTCCCTTGGCAGGGGAACACCCATGCTTGCTAGATCAATGCATGTACTACTTATAGCAATCATCCTCTGTACAGTGAAAGCTGTCTTTTGATTTCCTTCTTCTACTTTTTTTAGGTAGGTAATGAAACGGAGTAGGCTTGGACAAACTCCAGAGTGCCCTTAAAAGAAGTGAATGGTAAACTACATCTGAGTACAGAAAACTTGATAGTTATAATTATAATTTATGAAATCAATGGTTCTCTCAGAGAACTTAAATACATAAAGTCCCAGAAGTCTTTCATTAAGGCCTTCATGTTATATAGTTTGAATACCATGTCATAGCCATATTACTTATCATTGTAAAAACATATTCCACACTCTATTTTTTTTTCAATTTTTCCAGGAAAAAAGAATGGCTTTGGAAAAAAAAATCCCAGCTTTTCCCCCCCAAATTTTTCTTTTCTTTTTTTCTCATGGCTCCCCATCCCTGGAAACCATCCTTCTCGGGTTATGCAAAGTTTGCTTCCTTCGGCCGTGGCATTTTATGTTTCTTTCTGTTTTCTTAAAAAGCAAGTACAGTGGTGCCTTGCTTAACGAGTGCACCGTATAATGACGAATCTGCGTAGTGATCCCTTTTTCGGGATCGCTAATGCGGAGGCATAGCGTCGGTCCCTATGGCAAAAACTCGCATCGCGACGATCGGTAAGCGTTTCGCTTACCAATCTTCGCTTTGCGATGCCTGCGGATCAGCTGATTGGGGGTTCCAAAATGGCCGCCGTAAGCCCCGAAATGGCCACGCGCAGCGCTTTCGCGCCCTCCCCTCGCTTACCGAGGGCGCGAAAATGGCTGCCGCTATGGAGGAAACTTCGCTGAACGGTAAGTTTAGGGCCCATTGGAATGCATTAAACGATGTTTAATGCGTTCCAATGGGTTTTTACGTTCCGTTTAGCGATGTTTTCACATACAGAGGGTTAATCCAGAACGGATTAACCTTGCTATGCGAGGCACCACTGTATCTGAATGATACTAAAGCATTCAGGATTAAAATATGTCTGAAACCCAGTGTCACAGGAATGGAAATCCACTGGCACAGCAGGAGGTTTCCACACCACCACCTGCAGCCAGCCTTCTGTTCTGTCCAAAAACCTGACTGCAGAGGGCTCCCCAGTGTTCTGGAATATGGTTTGCAAATATGTGGTGAGTGTGCAAGTAATCCCTCCCCCAGTTCAATAGATGGAAGCAACAATGTCAGTCTCATGACCTGCTGGATCCTACCTGATCCATTTCATTTTATGGAAAAGATGTATTAGCAACTCCAACAGGGTATTATATTATATTGGAGGCATTGAAATAAAACTTAACAGCAAACATTTATAAAAAAATAGAAATTAGGGACTCTTGGCTTGGCTCTAGAAATCTGTCACAGCATGGAGCTCATTATCTCTGTGGACCCTTCTGACCGAATCTGCTCTGTACCCCAAATTCATTCCAGCAGAATGAACTACTCTTTCATGTATTTCCTTTGTGCATTTCTAATTCTGTGTCCTAATCCAGTTTAGTAATAACAACAGCTGAGCTGTACATCTAAAATACTGAAAGGCAGCTTCACAGCATCAGTACCAATAACTGCAAGACTAAAATATATGTTAATTTCAAAGCCTGGGAAAGTAGTTTCTTTGTGTGTGTTTTGGACTAAAACAACGTTGATTTCCCCAGCCAACAAGTTATTAGTTTTTGGTAGGGAACCAATGTGACAAATAAAGAGATCACGTGTTAAAGATCTCTTGATGTGATTTACCAAAATAGTAATTTACAGTTAGTCACAAAATCAAGAATAGAAGGAAATTATTTTAATTGAAAAATGGAAAATCTGACCTTTAACATTTACAAGGTTTGCATTCCTACCAAAACCTTAATGTGCCAGAGCTGGACTAAAGGAGTTTTACCTAGTTCCATTGAAATCAATGGAATAGGTTAATAATGACTTAGCCTAATTTCCCCATCAGTTTAAATGGGAATAAAGTACAGCTTAAAACTAGATCCTAGCCAGAATGGATTCTTTAAAACAAAAAACATGCAAGTGAAATTCCATGGAATAGGAACTTTCCCAACAAAAACATGCAGTAATCTGAGAAATAATTTTTGCAAAATATACAGAATATCTGTACAGAACTACTATATCTGTAATATGTCCAATTATGTTCTGACATCAGGTATTTCAGATGGAAAACAGTAAGTAGTAGTAAATACTTTTATAAACATGTGCTATTTTCTCATAAAAATAAAAAGTCCATATGTAGCATATTTACAATTCTCCTTTAGACAATTGCATACTGTTCATATAAAAGGTCTCTTATTTTGTAGAAGTCTTCACAGAGACAGCCCTCCAATCCAATGCGTCCCGTTTCAGTCTGCAACAAATCATATCACATTTCATTACTTACTGACTTCAGACATGTCTACTACAACTGGTGCACAAAGAGAACACGCTCACACAGAAAACTTACCCTGCGAACAGCTACCAAGTTGTTACATACAAGCACTCCCCCTACAAATTCAGCTTGAATTCCTTCTCGCAAGAGAACCTGCTTGAAGTCAGACAACCTAGGCTCATTCATGAATACAGACTGGTGTCCAGGAACCTTTTGAGAAGAAGGTACAAACAAGACTTTCATACGTAAACAGAAGAGATAAGAAAAACGTCTCACAGATATCAAAATATATTTTAATAAATGCTAACACTCAGGAAGACAGGAATATGCCAGAAGCATGCCATTAACATGAATGGAATGACTATCCAGTGCTGGCTTCACATGGCAAAAGCCCACATGGAATTTGTCCTTTGAGCAGGAGGTTGGACTGAATGGCCTTATAGACTCCTTTCCAACTTCATTATTCTATGATTCTATTATTCTAATTTCAGCCACTGAATTAGAAAACCTAAGATGTGCTTTCAGATTTGTAACCTTGCCAAGGAGGATATTTCAGGGCTTTTGTGAAAGATGTGCTTAGAGGTCAATATACCAATTCTAATCAACAAAAAAAATCTATTATTCTGACAACAGTTCTGCTAAATTTTAAGAACAGTCTAAATCTGATGTTGAGCTGACACTGTTGGAGTAATATAACTGAATTGTCTTTTATTTTCTGCTACAGCTCTCTGCAGTGCACAAAACGTGGCCCCAAAGAATGCTCTGAGCCACTGCACAGCTGGTTTTAGGGGCACATGGGGTGGCTGTAACAGGGAAGCAAAGCTTACTCTTTCCCTTTCCACTGGATTCTGCTAGGATCTGAACTCAGGATACTGTCAAACCAAAATAAAACCTCCCAACAATTTCCATGTGTACAGAAACGGATGGCAATCTTTATTTCAATTAACAGAAAAACCTGTATATACATATTTAGATATGTCTATGGGTCAAATTATTCTTTTACTCAAAGTGATAATTTATTTGATTGGGCCAAAAGAGATGCCCATACAGCTTTCAAATAATCTAGATTCAAACATTGAAATATATATCCATAATTTCTTTCAAAGACAAGGATGAATCCCAAAATAATAGAAGCTTATTTGAGAAACAAATGAGGTTTTCTTACTTCATTTGGGGGCAAAGGCTCCAAAGTAGGAATGATCTCAGTCTCTTCACATATTTCCTTCTCGTCATCTCCAAACAGACTTTTCATGGCCTTCTGCTGAGCAACAGCACTCGAATCTGACGAAGGTGCATCCACTTGCATTTCAGTGTCTTCTCCATCATCTCTCAGTTCCCCTTCTTCCAAAATCACACCAGTGTCCACTTTTGATACCCGCATGTCCAGGACCCCATCTATCCATGCCAGTTCTGCATCTTTAGCTTTACAGAACTGAAGGGAACTGACCAGAGAATCTTTTAACCTAACCTGTTGAACAATTTTTTTTAAAAAAAAAGCCAAAAACAAATTAACGGTCAGACAGATCTTTTTATACATTCAATATCATTGCCTGCATTAATTATCTGGGGAGTTTTTTGAGAAGCCACAGTATTAGGAAGGAATTGTAAAGGATAAAGTAGCCTGTCATTTAACTTGGGATGTGCTGTGCAGGCTGATATAGTCCAATCCATGGATATAACCAGCCAGAGAAAGAGAAAATAAAAGATGCTTAAGTAGTAAGGCTAATCTCTAAAACAAGACAGGTGACCCTGGCATCCTATAGCACAACATTACCATCCTATTGCACTACAAAATCATCACATAGCACTACAATACAGGATAAATTTAGTTTGCATTTTAATGCAGATTTGTCAAACTAGCATTTCTTGAACTAATACACAAACCATAATGCAACCATATGTCAAGCATCTTTCTACATTTTTTGTGTTGTTTGACTCTCAAATAATTCATAAAGAAATGCATATACAAGGCAATATTTTGCACAAAAATACCTACATTAGGGAAAATAGCAAATCAAATGTCAAGAGAATTGCAAACAAAATCTTGGGTCTTAGGGGAATTACACCAAAAAAAAAGAGTATACAAACTTCTGTGCAGATTTCCTTTTTAAAAAATCAAAAATTGATACTGGTATAGGAGGAAATAAAATTAAGATTAGAAACAAAGAAACTGAATAAAACCAAAGTAGATATGGATCTAGAAATGGGTTTCTGTGTATCTGTTTTTGCAGTGGCAAAAACGAGTTTGAAGCCCTTTGTCTCACCCAGACTAAAAAACTGGGACAAACAGCGTGACAGTAGCTGACCTCACCAAACAGAAGCCTTATTTCTAATTTTATGGGTATCAGTAAAGAGGGATCAGAATCACAGACAAGTGCTTTTGTTATGTAAGGCTGCATTGCTTGTTCTAAACAGAAGGTAGGTTTTATGATATATTTGCAGCTCCTTTTTTTCTGCATTGTCAATAGAGTCAAAGCCAAAGCCACTTGTATAAAAGACTGGCAGAGGCCTACATATCTATCTGTACAAATCCATTACTTAATGGGTAAGGAGAAGATGGCAAGGAAAATGCCAAACAGAGTGGCTACAGCAGGAAAAATGCTTGGCAGGACAAACAGCTGACAAAAAAAAAAACACCCCACACAGATGCTCCCTCTTCATCTGTTTCCTAACCCTCTCACCACTGGCTTGTATTCCAACACTTCTCTGAAGGTGTTACTTTCACAGACTGGACCCCCATCATGTTTTGAGGGAGCCCCCAGCTTCTTCCTGATCAGGAGCTGCTTTCTATAAATGAAAGCAAAGCAGATGCAAAAGCGAAGTTCCCTACATGAGCAAGAACCTCATTTTTTCCAAATATTTCCTTACATGTTGGCTGTGTCTGCGAGCAAGAAGCTTTACTGTGCAGATACCCTGCTTTTAATGTGTAGAAAGCAGGGACAGAAAGGATATGGGCTAACTCAAAGCGTGGCAAATCAGCGAAGGTAACAGCTGAATTGGATTTCTGGCATCTTAGCTGCTGGATGCAAAAGCCCTTTACTCAATATTGTTTTATTTATTTGGCCTACTTGTAGCCCATCATTCAACAGAAAACCATCCACAGGGCAACTTCCAATCGTACAGAAGCCAAAAATATAAATATATTTATAAAAGCATTGAGCCAGTTATAATAGAAACAAAAAAATAATATCCAGAACTGCTGGATAGATCAGTGGTTTAGGTACCTGGCCACACACCCAGAGGCTGAGAGTTACTGTATATTCCATACTGTGCTTCTTTGACAAGGGCTGGACCCGATGATTGATAGGGTTCCCTGCCAGCTATCATCATAGGCCTCCTTCAGTCTCGAGAGACTATGGAAACATGCTCTGTATCAAGAAGTGTCCTCTCCAGAGCATGAAGCCTGGGTAAAGTAGTATGGAGGATAGGCTATTACCCAAGCAGCAAATCCCCACTCTCCACGTTGCTGAAATGGTCCAATGGAAAGGCAAGAGCCAATACGACTGGTTCCAGCAATGTCGCAGGAGTTGGCAGAACGACACGAGCTGCCTTCGGGACTCCAGTTTTAAGATTATTACTATTATTATAATATGAAAGCTTCGAGACGAGGAACATATGTATTACAAGAAAGCAAAGAAGAACAAATGTTTTAAGATTATTACTATTATTATAATATGAAAGATTTGAGACGAGGAACATATTACAAGAAAGCAATGAAGAACAAAGAAATGTTTGCAGGTGCATGTACGTGAAGCCCAACACAGTCCATCTGGCAGAAAAACCTCAAAAACCTCATCTTCATATCCACTAACCTAGCTATTTTCAAAGGTAGGCATGTAAGTAGGGAGTCAGATGCAAGGAGGCTAATTTAAGAGAAAGCAGCCATCAGATCAAGCAGGACACCAATTGTTTAGGAGTATGCAGGTCAATACCAACATTGTAGATTTGGCTAGATATGTATCAGGAATCAAATAGAAGCTGTCACGTGCTCAAACTGCTTAGCTGACCATGGCATCCTCTTCTGCTAATGGGAGGGCTCTCAAGTACAGGTGTAAAATATAACTTAAATCTCATTATAGCTGTCAAATCATTTTACCCAGATATACATTCTTACCTGGTATATGTGAGTCTCACTGGTTGCATCTATAGTTTCGTGCAGTTTGGGCATGTAAACTTTAATATCTTTTCCACCAAAAGCTCTGCAAGACTCTGCAAGATCCTGGCTTGCCTCAGGTGGTCCATGTACAATAATCAATTGCCGTGGCTTCATCTGATTAATTATTTTTTTAATGGAGTCCCCATCCGAACGTCCTTCATAGTCTATGTATGTAATACGAGCTCTAAAATTTGGTACAAGGAGAGAAACTATTCAACTATTTATTGACTGAATTGGTTATGAACCTAAATATAACAAAGAGAAGCAAACCCATAATGTCAAAGCAATCATCATCCAAGCACATTCAACTGTGGTATTATTTTTCAAAGCTGCAAAGCTGTAACATGAATCTTAAAGCACAGTATGTAGAGAGCAATTTCTGGTGGATGATTTGGCAGATATGCACCATGTAAGCTCCTTAATTGTACTAGTATAACCCTGTTTAAGAACTGTAATAACAAAGCAAGTACGTAGAAGTTACTACAGAACAACATTCAATGCCCTACAAAGAACTAAATTTCTTCAGACATAAACATTTAGATGGGGTGATTAGATAGAAACAATATAGTTAAAACCTTTGGTACTCATTCACTGCTCAAGGTGACCATGAAAATTAGCTATCAAAAGACAAGTATCTTTATAGGTCAATGACAGGTTAAACACAAAAATATGAAGCTGAGCAATAAATTGAGTTTTTACAAGAAGGGAAGCTCTGGGGTCCTGCCAGTTTCCTTTAATTATCTGGAGTCATGATAGAATGAGGAAAGAGTGGTCCCGGTATACTTCAGAATGAAGGAGGTCTTTTGAAGATGTTGTCACCTGTACAACTGTAAATAATTCTCTTGAACGCGAGCTATATATCATCTATGATTTTCTTTCCATAAACAAAAAGATATACAGAACAGAAAACATCTCAAGAAAATCTTATTTTTTGTCATAGGAGTGGTCTGTGTTTTTTGTCTCCAACTTAAAAGCATGTTTTATGGTATTTTTCAAATAAGACAGGAAAGTAGACCTGAGTCTCTGGAAATCTGCAACTATGAAGCCATATTTGTTGTTGTTCTTGTTTAGTTGTCTCTGGAAATCTGCAACTATGAAGCCATGTTTGTTGTTGTTGTTCTTGTTTAGTTGTTAAGTTGTCTCCGACTCTTCATGACCCCGTGGACCAGAGCACGCCAGGCCCTCCTGTCTTCCACTGCCTCCATATACATAGCTTTAATTTTAGGAAACATTATTAGAGGCCCTGAGCAACCTAATGGCAGGTGAGACTCAAAGTAAACATTGAGACAAAAACATCTTAACTTCATTGATATGCTAAAACACTCTAAATGTAACTCAGCAGTACAACAAAAGTATGTGTATTATAGAAGAAAATTTAGGGAAGTCAGCAGCCATACTCTCTCTTTCACTACCTAAATTTGTTTATTTACCACGTTTCCCCCAAAATAAGACAGGGTCTTATATTAATGTTTGCTCCCAAAAACGCATTAGGGCTTATTTTCAGGGCATGTTTTATTTTACAGTCATGTCATTTTCTTCTGGTTGCTGCACAATGGTGGACGGCGGGGTTTCACTTAACTGGGGCTTATTTTGGGGGTAGGGCTTATATTACGAGCAATCCTGAAAAATCATACTAGGCCTTATTTTCAGGAAAACAGGGTATTTATTCGACTTGTATGCCGCCCGCACTCTGCAACATATCATGCAGCTCCCTTTAGAATGATGTATACATATAAAATCAACTGAAGGAGAAAAAGATGATGGAGACTAAGAGGGGAGGGCATAGAGACAATTGTTACATCCCAAAGACTCAGTTACTAGGTAGCCTCAGTCGGGGAGAAGGGAATGTTTCGCTGTGGATCCTCACTCTGAGCTGCTAACAGTGCCCTCCAGTTGCAACCAGCATTAGTGCACTCACTTTATTTCCATTGTTTCCATTGCTGAAATACATTTGGTAGGAACATCAGATAAATCCTGGTCCATTGGTTCCTCTCCATTTGTAAGCCCAGATTCCAGTTTGCTCTTTTCTTCTTCAGTTGCCTGCAGTTCTGGAACAAGGAAATCCTCCGGTCTAAACAAGGAAAGATGATTAATACAGGGGTAAAGTAATGTTAAGAAAAGTCATGTGCTATGAAAAAGAAAGCTAAATATAGTTATGTAAATGAATATTTACAACAGTTTCTTTTAGTTGCATAACATAGTAACAGCATCAATCTAAAGCAAGGAATCCATTTCCAGGCCCCCCAAAGTGCAATATTTCTACCATCTTCCCTTTCCTCTCTGGCCCTCCGACCCACCTCATTTGCTCTACCTTCAAGCCATCCAAAACAGACTGTAGGGATTCAGGAGGCAATAAATACTCTGTTTTACTGGTAAAACTGATTTAATTATAGTAAACAGTAGGACCCCCATATCCATGGGGGATCAGATGCTGAAAAACACAGATTATAGTGAATGCTATTTTAATAGTGAATACTATACATGGCCGGTTCTGGTAACTTCATCTTTAGAAATATGTATACTTCTAGGATTTTTCTTTTATTATTTTAAATATTTTCAGTTCAGTGGGACCTCGACTTACGAACATCTCCACTTGCGAACGATTCAAGTTACGAACGGCTCCGTTCACAAAAAGTTGCTTTGACTTGCGAATAGAGCCTCAATTTACGAAGGAAAAAAAAAGGAAAAAAAAAAGGTCCCTGCTCTTTTTTTTTGACCTAAGTTCATCTTAGGTCAGAAGAAGAAAAAAAATTTCTCTCCCCCAGTGGTAGAGTACGGATTAACCGGCTTTGCATTAGTTCCTATGAGAACTAGTGCCTCTCTACCTACAAACAGTGCCTCGACATATGAACGAAAAACAGCAGGTATGGATTAAATGGTTTTCAATGCATTCCTATGGAAAAGTTTGCCTTGACTTACAAAATTTTCGACGTACGAACATCGTTCCAATACGGATTAAGTTCGTAAGTTGAGGTACCACTGTATATGGATAAGTGAATCAGCAGACACTGAACCCAGGAAAAGAAGGTCCCACCAAACGTTCTTTTCTGGAAGCTTTTGCTGAATCTGGGTTATACTATACCTACACTGAAATAGATCTCTTCTAGAATGGGAGACCAAAATGCATTCTTCATGGCTTTTTTGAAATGATAAATAATGTTAAGTTCAATTTTGAGATGTAAACATTTTACACACATACTTGATAATCTCTCCATATTCATCCCATTTAATTCTCTCTTCTGGGGCTGGAAACATAGGGTAAGATTTTTTGGCTTGCTTGAAAAAGCTTCCTTTTCGGTTACCTTCACCTTTCATCATTAGATCATGTTTAGTTTTATGAACAGATGGTTGATCAATATCCTCTTCAGCATCACTCTCATCACTGGAATCAATATCTGCTCTAGAATAGGAGAATGGATCGTTTATGTACACAGAGCGAGCAAAAAATAAAGTGTTTTCATCCTGATTTTAATTTACAAAGTTCCGTGGGGTTTCAGGGCTCCTTTATTCACAATCACCTCAGAACAGTTCTGCTACAACACATTGAATGCCTACCTAGTACACAATCCTTTTCCCCACCGTGGTCAATAAGATAAGAAGCGAGCAGGTGAATATAAGGGCAATCATACCCTTCCACCACTAATCTTCAGCAAGCATCATTCAGAGACCTCTAATCCTGGACATAGTACTGAGACATAATGACTAGCAGTCACTGATAACCTTATCCTCTATGAACATGCCTGCTTCCCTTTAAAAAGTATTTCAGGTAGTGAAGATAACTACATCTTCAGAAAACAAATACCACAGTTTAAATGTGTGCTGTGTGAAGAGGTACTGTACAATAATTATGTACCATACAATGTTCTGGGGAGGGGGTAATATGCTTCCACTATATGCCAATATTGTCCTTATTTTCTAAAGTTAATGGCCAAAACTAGTTGAAAAATTATACTTGGTGTAACTCCAGTGGGATAACTTTTAGCTGTAACTTGCCATAAACTTAAGAAGTCTGTGTAGGCACTTGCTGTTGTGCACCAAGTCACATGACTAGTGTACAACAACAAATGTCTACACTGATTTTGCAGCAAGTCATGCCAATGGAGGTACACATGCAGGTAAAACAAACAGGATTTTGGCCAACATAACCATCAAACCACAAAAACAGTTTTTGGCATATCATATAAGGCATATTTGTCAGTTACAGATACATTAATTCAATTTATTGTACCTCTGTGGCCTAATGAAAAACCACAAATTTTATTTCAAATAAATTAAAATTTAAATTTTAGAATCCTGCTAGGTTACATACTTGGGGAAGGGTACAAATGCCACTTGTGTCAACTGTTTTGCCTACTTTCCATCATTTGTCCAGTTATGCCCTACTTGCACAACTGATCACAGAAGCAGGCACACTGACAAAAAGAAAAAACTGATTGCGTGACTGTCCTGCCATGTGTGTTAAAACTCAACAGGATTAGAATTTTAAATTTTAAATTTTGGTATTTGCATTTTAATTTAAAATGCTTGCTTCTTTGTGCGATAGTAATTTTGAATCTGTGCTCACGACCTGGGGTTCAAATCCCAGGTAGCCGGCTCAAGGTTGACTCAGCCTTCCATCCTTCCGAGGTCGGTAAAATGAGTACCCAGCTTGCTGGGGGGGCAATGTGTAGCCTGTATAATTAAATTGTAAACCGCCCAGAGAGTGCTTGTAGCGCTATGGGACGGTATATAAGTCCAATCAATCAATCAATCAATCAATCAATCAATCAATCAATCAATCAATCAATAAATAAATAAATAAAATATCTGAAACGAAGGCCACTTAAAACGATTTCCAACAATATGCATTACTGTGATTTATACACATAGGTACTCACTCTTTGGACTGTTCTAACTTTTTGGCTGCCTCTTTTTTAAGTTTCTCTTTCTCCAAATACTCTTCAAGTTCCTTTCCTTCCAGTTTGACCCTTTTTCTCAACTAAAAAAGCAAGTATATACCAATAAGGAGATTATGCAGACATAAGTAACAACTTGGGTTTTATGTTAAGTTCTAAATCAATTTTCTAAGGAACAATCAGCATTACACATACACAATGCCACTATCCACAACAACACATATATTTGCCAGATATCCTTCAATGGACTCAGACTACCAATTTTTGTGGTGAAATGATGAGCATGACATTCAATGGAAATGAGCCGTTTTGCCTCTGTAGGCAAATCCACACCAGTAGAGTTTAAACACCTTATAGGACTATTTCAAGCAAATGTAATATATACAGCTGAATGGTCTGTGTGAATATAAAATATAACACGTAAATACACTACACACGTATATAACACAAATATGTTATGTGGACATATGCTAGGGAGTCTTGAAACAGTTAATTCTTGGGGGAACCTACTGTAGTATCACAGTGAAGAATGATACATTCTTTATAAAATGTAACACGTGCACATACTGATGCATCTGTGGATTGCCACTCTTAAACCCAACCAAAGAGGAAATATTTTCTTACCTCAATGTCTATAACTTTTTCATTAGGATTATCTATTAGAAATCGTGCCAGTGTCCCTGGAGTGGTTCTGTATGTCAAGATAATGGAGTTTTTGGGGTCCTGACACCACTGTATAAAGAGATCTCTTGAAAACCCACACTCAAGATCTGGCTGACTGGCAAGGACAACTTTAGGACTTGGAACTCGAGCCAAATCCGCAAGTCCATGACAGAGGGAAAGATGACGAAACTGAAAAGGATTATTCCTCTTATCTTCAAAGCATCTCATCAGCTTGTCACTCATCCATTCAACCTGTATGTCACACAGCAATAACAAAAAAAATAACTCTATCACTTTTGTACCTCATCACACCTTTCCAGCAAAACAAATCTCGCCTATGTGTTGCCTTTAATTAGTATCTATGCATATACTATATGCAATACATTTAGTTAATTTGTCAATATAAACCAGTCTAAGACCTAAATGTATGTCACACAGCAATAACAAAAAAAATTAAAAATAAAATAAAAATAACTCTATCATGTTAGTACCTCATCACATCTTCCCAGCAAAACAAATCTGGCCTATGTGTTGCCTTTAATTAGTATTTATGCATATACTATATGCAATACAGTTAGTTAACTTGTCAATATAAACCAGTGTAAGACCTAAAATATTGTACTGCAGGGTCAGAAGACCAAGCAGTCGTAAGATCGAATCCACGCGACGGAGTGAGCGCCCGTCGCTTGTCCCAGCTCCCGCCAACCTAGTGGTTCGAAAGCATGGCAAATGCAAGTAGATAAATAGGGACCACTTCGGTGGGAATGTAACAGCGTTCTGTGTCTAAGTCGCACTGGCCATGTGACCACAGAAGACTGTCTTCGGACAAAAAAAAATGCTGGCTCTATGGCTTGGAAATGGGGATGAGCACCGCCCCCTAGAGTCGAACACGACTGGACAAAAATTGTCAAGGGGAACCTTTACCTTTTTACCTAAGACCTAAACTACTAATGACTTTCCTACTCTGATTTTATACCACCCAAAGTTTAGTACTATAAATTAAAAGATGAAACTCAAGTACTTAGCAGAACAATACCATTGCTTTCCTATAAAACAACAAATTGGATTTATGCAAATATTTGATGCAGCCACACAAGCAAGCTAAAGGTTCTACCAAAACAAACCTGAGATTTTGAGAACTCCACAACATTGTAGCTGACATTATTTAAAAGTGCTAAAGAATAGACTCCTAAACCGGCATCTTTTGTCCTCCATATTTGATCAAGCAGTTGGGCAAGTTCCAAGACTCTACCCGCGGTGTCCACAGCAATTAGGACATTTCCATCACCTCTAAGTGTTTCCAAGACATTTGCTGGAGGGGGGAAAAACCACACAAGTAGACATTTAAGTGTGTTTGGTACTCTTTCAAATTAATATTTTTCTTTTCATAGTGTGAGGATAACCCTAATCCTTCAAGTGCAGGTTCTCATTCATCTGTGACAGACACCAGGGATCCGGCAAAAGGCAAGGAGGGCTCAAGCCCCTCAAAACTAGGCCAGGGTTGTCTTATACTTCCCTCCCCACAATCAGGCAAAATTGGACTAAGACTCCTGCGCAGCTGAGCCCACTTAGGAATGATAAATCACATGGGTACGAAATCGAACAGGCACAGAAATGATAAAGATTTCTACTCTAGTTGAATCTTCTCACAAATCAGTAAGGAAGGGAAGGTAAAACTCCTACTCTCACATCTGGTGCAAACCTCTAGCAATTTGTTGTGTTCATCTGTTGTTGTTTTAGGCCACAGACCACAGTTTTTGCGCTGTCACATTAGGGTAAAATATTACATATAGGTTCATAGACAACATACAAATTATCACAGCACAAAAGAATAACTGGGTTACTTATGTGCTGCTATCTGTTTAAAAACCCCTACTGTTTGGCTTCCATCCTGAGATACCTACTTAGGCTCCTTATTTTCTGCTTTTAGGTTAGTTATGTTGAAGGGGTGGGAGTGTAAGGAGATCACATCCATCTTTATTGATACATTTCCTCTTTCCTTATTAACATACTATTTTAATCAATTTTGCAACTATTATTTGGGAGGGAGTGATTGTGTTCACCATAGTCACACTGTAATTGCTAATCATAATCATTCAACAGTGTGACTATGATCCTGTTTTTAACGATATTGAATAGAACATGACAGATTATATACGTATTTATTCCATTAGATAAACAAATGTAAAAACACCTGCAAGTAGCCAAAGTTTATTATGACCTGATTTCCAGTCTTGAACACTTCCCCCACCACTCCAACCAGTTCTGGGACTTTCGGCATGCAATAATGTAGTACATCAAATATCATTCCTTAAATCAGATTTTAATTAAATAATTTAAATCTACCTTTCTTTACTAGTCAAAATCAGATAGACATAAGAGCAAAAACATCACGTTACGTAAAATTCATAGCTTTGACAAACCTTATTTATAACTCCAAATGCAGGAAAATCTGCAAGAAATTGGGCAAAATCTGTTGCTGCAATTATGCCCCACAAAACTGTATCCACGCACTGAAAATATTTAATTTAAACAAGTTGAAAGCTTCCTTCCACTCCCATTCAGCTTCTGAGGCTCCCCAGAGCTCCCTTTTACCCCGGAAATGCCTATAGGAGCTTCGGGACAGGTGCTTTAATAGTTCCAAACTGCCACAGGATGGCTGCCTGAGGTCCTGATCCCAGGGGCTGTTGTGTTTTTTTTGCTTGTTTTACTATTAAAGGCTTCCTGCCCACCACTGAAGCTTGCAAACACTTCCCCAGAGCAAAAATGAGTCCCAGGGAGCCTCTGAAACTGAAATGGGAGATAGAAAGCTTTCAATTCATTGAAGTGAATTATCACTGGCATAACTATGACAACAAGATTTTGCCCAATGTATCTGTTTGATCTGTCTCTCTTCGTTGTAAATCCAAGATTTTCAGATGCTAAGGGTCCTTTGGTGGTGTACTGTCAGGATTGTTTTGTTTTTAAAATGGAGTACTGCAATTCATGTTAGTTAATTGAAATATGTCAGCAGTAGCTCTTCAAACTCAGGATGCAAAAGCTGAACCAACCAGTAGAGGCAATGGAAGAGACAGTCTTGGGAGAGTCATTTATTCACAGGGACCTGCAGCACCTTCAAGTCTTCAAATAGAAAGAGGTGGGGGAGGAGTGAGGGAGCTGTTGCCTAGTAACGGTATAGAGTAGAGCCAGCAGAGATTAAAACAGAATGAGTACTGGGGCAGAGAGAAGGAGCAGAGTATGGAAAAAGAAAAGATCACTTGATTAAATGAGACTATGATGCTCATAACTCATGCAGAGGTAACAGTTGTACCACTAGTTAAGTAGCCCTTAAACCAATCTACTCTTTCAGTGGAAATGAACTCCCTAACTATAAAGATTGCACAGACTTCAAAAAGTTCTGCAGAACTTAACTGTGGAGCACTGGGGCCTCAATTAAAAAGTCCCTGTAATGTATCCAGAGCAGCGTTTTCCCCCCTTTAAAAGACTTTAAAGCAGTGGATTTTAACATAGTGCTCACATGGGGAAAAGTACTGATAATATTTTGTACAAGAGCTGTTTTGAAAATCTCTGAACAGAATACATACTTACCCTTTTTGATCAATTTCACGGACAAACATTTTATTTTTAAATTAAAGTTGTAAACAATTCAAGATCTTAATTTTTCTAGAAAACTATTCACCTGGTTCTAGTCTGCAAGTTGGAAATAAAATCACAGTCTTACCCAGAGAGAATAACTAAAAGTCTTATTTTCTTATAACACTCATGTTGCATAAAACCAACACTGGGATTTAAAAATATGTTAAGAACAGAGATTTTATCTCCATTGTTGGTACTTTAGTTGCTACAACAAAATACATACTTAGCAGTTGTTCATCTCGTTGCTTCCGTCTTGGCTGAACATAAGTAGCATTAAAGGAATCAGTGATAAGCAAGGAAGGCCTACTTAACATTTCCAGGGAACATCCATTCAAATGTCTGAAAAAAAGAAGTCATATCAGGATTTCAGTGCTTTAATTAAACAAAGGCAGTGACAAAGTTAAAATATGTAGCAGAGATCTACTGTATTTTCTTTTCCATCAAGTCAATTTCTGTAATGAATGAATATGAATTAGGACATGATCAATTTCATTGAAAGCCATCTTCATCTGTATATTTTCAATATTTTTATACTGAATCAGTGTGCATGATGCCTTTCAATTCTACAGAGAAACTGTCAAATCACTGTCCCAGAGGGAGGTCAAAAAGAAAAGGACAAAGAGGGACAACTGCAATTACTAAGGAAGCCATCACAAGATAATGTATGTTCTATGGTAAAGCCTTTTCTAAATGTGCTCCCAAATGTCAGGTGCCTTATTTACCACACCCCACTTTGCAACAGAAACTTTAACTCAATTAAATTTACAGCTGGAAGTACTTCTCTTGGTATGTGTTGGTGATTCACATAGTTATTAGTTTATATCCTAAAACATTTAAAGCAATTTACTTTAAAACGAACAGTCAAATAACTAAAACCAAATGGTAAATGTTTTGAAGTCTACCAGCGCCCTCTTCCCACACTGATGTCTTGTCTTCACTCTTCAGACCAATTTGAAATGTGCACAAGTTTTATGTTCCAGAGCTTATAAAGCTGTGACTATTTACAGCATTTGCTCCTGTGAGAGATGGGCACAAACTGGTGATTTGGTGGTTCCTGCCAGTTCATTTATTGGCGGACCAGGTGTTCAGTGCTTCAGAGCCCTGCCTCCTCCAGTAGGCACCCATTCAGAGGAAGCAGCCTGGCTTCTCTACCCCGTCCCCTCCATTCATGCCCATCTCTGGTTCCTATTTTAAGATCTCAACACTTCTCAATACATTTATCCTTTCTCAATTGAACAATCACTCAGTAATTTATGTTTTGTTACATGCTCTTCAAAATAGCTCTGCTCCATGTACCTTACTCGTTTTAAGATCACTATTAACATTTTGAAATCCAAGAATAGCAAGCATGGTAATAAAATTCTGAACAAGTGAAATGAGGACAGGGCTGGTTGGACTTTAGGCTAGATCCAACAACCGAAGCTTTGTACAAAAGACATACATTTGGAATTTATGTCAAATCTCAGAACCGCAGCCTTCTGCATTTCACTACGGTAATATTGTTGCTGTTTTATTAAATGTACTGGAATTAGGAATCCTTGTTGATCTACTGCAAGGAGACCTAGCAGTAAATTCAGAGCTACTTTTTACCCACCCTAGATTTAGAACACCATAATTCCTTAAAAATAAAATCCAGATGACAACTGTACACACTCTGTAGGCTAGGTTTGTTGTTTGCTTCTGTAAGCAAAATGCAGATAACCTATAAAACACATTGATGTATAGTTACTGGATGAACGGAATGAATGTCTGAAATTCAATACTAAATTATGCTCTTTCTACCCACAATAAGTTTTTGTGTGTGAGACTTAAGGAAATCATTTTTCAGTAGTTGAGGACTAGTCTTTGTACTACTAAGCAGTTTGACCGATGGATAATAAATTGCAGCTTTGGCAGCAGTCAAGAGAATCTCAGCAGTGGTCGTAACTGACTAGATAGGCGGGATATAAATTCAATAAATAAAATAAATAAATAGTTCTGCTCCGATGCTGCATTTAAACTGAAAGGTTTTTTAATAAAAGGAAAGGAGCTACTCCAGTCACCTTTGCTCTTAAATTCTGATCCATGCTTATGTATATCTTTACCACATAAACAGCTTTACTAGATCTTGACTATCAGTTTATGCTTTTGGATAACCATTAACATGGGCAAATACTAACAGTCTCCACATAACTAGATGGAGCATTTCTGTACAATAGAAACAAACTGGTCTTCCTCTTTCAAGTCAGTGCAGTTTCAAGTACTGTATCATTAACAAATGTACAGAAATATTTGTTGATAACATCTTTGGCCTTATTTGGAAGCATGCATAGACTACAAGGCCCACAGTGTAGCAATCATTAAGGAATAACAGTAGTGTCAACAGAAAGCTAGTGATTTTTGTACATACATCTCCCTCTTGTGGTTGAAATCAACTGCATAAACAATTTCTTCTTCTCCATCTTTAACAATCTTCCAAATCGTTCCACCTATCATGTGACCTGCAGGTAGCGGCGTAATGGATAAACCATGTCCTTTCCCTAGAAAAATAAGAGCAGTAATTCAGGCACAAACACACAAGGTTTACTTTAGTCCTTTCTACCCCTCCACAGTTAAAACAGGGCATTAGTAATAGAGTTCTCTCCAGGGGCTGATCATATTAATAAGGCATTTCATAATTACCTTCCTCTGGAGCTTCATGACACAGTGGTTAAACTGCAGTACTGTAGCCAAAACTCTGCTCTTTATCCAAGTTCAATCCCTGGTAGCCAACTCGAGATTCACTCAGCCTTCCATCCTTCCGAGGATGGTAAACTGGGAGAGCAGTGTGTAGCCTGCATGACTAAGCTGCAAACCATTCAGTGTGCTTTAAGTACTATAGGGCAGTATATAAGCAGCATACTTTTACTTTGCAGTATGCACTAAATTCTTACTGTAATGTACAGAACTGCTTCATATCTACTCAGATGATTTGTGAACCAAGACTAGTTTCTTTTGGCTTCGCTTGATGATTTCCCCTCTTATCTTAGCAGTCCATTTTATATACATGTTGTAACTTAAAGAAGCAGTTTACTGAGTTTGCTTGTTCCTCTTCCCTTCAAAACTTGTGTGTGTGTGAAAAAAAACACGGCAGGTGCATTTGGAGAAAAGGACAGAATTTTATAAAAAACCTGTTTGCCAAAGGAAAAGCATCATGGTGATAGGTAAAGGTGATACACAATGGTGTACATGGTGATACACAATGTCTAATCATTCTTACTGGAAGCAGAAGCATCTGAACAATGGACTAGCCGCCTTGGGTCCTTTTGAGGAGAATATTTTAAATAAATAAACAAATTCTTGCACCCAAGACCTGTAATCTGATTTATGTCCCTCCAACATCCAAAAGCAACATCCTACAGTTTGTAGTGGATTTATTCACCTGGCTTCATGGCATAGTAGCTAAACTGCTGTACTGCAGCCAAAACTCTGCTCCCAACCTGAGGTTCAATCCCAGGTAGTTGGCTTGAGGTTCACTCAGCCTTCCAGCCTTCTGACGTCAGTAAATTGAGTATTCAGCTTTAGGTGGCGGGGGTGGGGAATGTGTAGCATGCATAATTAAATTATAAACTGCCCCAAGAGTGCTTTGAGTGCTATGGGGTGGTATATAAGCAGCACATTTTTTTTTGCTTATCCTAGAAAAGCCAGATTGCAACAAGCAAGTGCCACTGTTGCAATCAGGTTAGCTGTTCTCACTTGCATCAGGTTCATAGTTTGTTCAGCTGTTCTCGCTTGCACTTATTCCCAACAAGCTAAAATTCTGCAGGATCCTGTCTTGCTATTGTATGGCATTGTGCCTTTAAGATTTAAGTCTGAAGACAAGCAGTGTCTTGTTTTCCTATTGATTTAGAAGCTTTTATCGCTCCCAGAGCCTTTCCAACTGAAGAACAAATTGAAAAGAAATAACGTACTGTAACTTACTGCAAGAGGTTCCCTTTAGGAATTAATGATCTATGAAAACCACAAGGCAATATAATTCTGATCTTGCTAAGGGAAACATACTGTTACTCCTCTTTTGCAGAGGCAGGGTGAGAAAAGGGTTGATTCCTCAGTATGATGAATATGGTTTGCAGAGGCTGGTCAATATGGAGCAACTAATTCTAGCTGACCCTTCCTCTTTGATTAGTTTGATGAATGGCATTTCATCTAATCAGATGGCACACAGTTAAATGATTATAATATCAACATGTATTTAAGACAGAAATCTTATGAAGTAGACAAGGACACACATCTTTAAGAAATAAAGAAAACAAAAAACATCAAATAATGTGTGTAATTATTTAAAAGCACTCAAAAGGTGCTTCTTCCATTTTATCATTCTGATAGCCTATAAACAGCAGTTGGCAAATTGGCTAGAAACACCACGGAAATCCTATCTATCTATCTATCTATCTATCTATCTATCTATCTATCTATCTATCTATCTATCTATCTATCTATCTATCTATCTATCTATCTATCTATCTATCTATTTATTTATTTGATTTATATCCCACCCATCTGGTAAGTCAATACCACTCTGAGCGGCTATTCATGACAGAAATATTTTTCTGTGTATACGACTATACTTTTGTCTAAAATCTTTAAACTAAAAATTGAAGGTCATCTTATAAATGGAAATAAGCTGAGGAGAGAACAAAAACAAGTGAAGGTGAAAGCAGGGATCAAAGCTATCCTGCAGCACCTTGATCCCTTCCCCCCCCACCCTAGCTAAGCCCCACTTAGATTTCTTAATTTTGGATTAGAAAAGTGGGGGGAGTCTTATACATGGGGGCGTCTTATACACGGAAAAGTATGATAAGGGTTTCAATGGATAGGGGTGTTCCAAAAATAATTCTCTGTGTAGAGTGAGGGGAATACTCATTTTATTCAGGAATCATACCATGGTTAAAGATTTAACCATAGTACCTCTGAACTGATAAACTGGCTACATATTCTGCCTCCATACAGCACTGCAGTTAAGATGAAGATGGTGTATCAGCCATGCCACAGATAAAAGCATTTACAGCAGGACTGATGTGGGATCAGTATTCGCTGGCTCACGTATGAGCCATGGAAATATTTTTTAAATCAGCTGTAGGTCTGAAGGCAATTTTTAGAATATATATTTTAATTGCATTTTAATTATTTTGCCCATTTATTTTGCCTTTTTATTGTATTTTAAATGCTGTAAGCCGCCCAGAGACCTTCGGGTAGTGTGGGCGGCATATAAGTTAAATAAATAAATAAAATAAAATAAATAAATAAATCCTTCCAAATATTTTTTTCATGATTAAATTGCCAGAACTGACCACTAGAGGGAGCCAGAGACCATACTACAGTATGTATAGCCATGTTCTTCACCACCAAAGGTGGTAGGGTCTTGGAATCAATCCAAGGGGTCCTACTGTACTCAAATATTGGCCCAGAGCAGATGTAATGCTGCCAAGTTTCTCTGTACCATTTGTATATACAGTGATGCCTCGCTAGACGGTTGCCCCGCTTGACGACTAAATCGCTTTACAATGGGTTTTCTGCGATCGCTTTAGCAATCGCAAAACGATGGTTCCAATAGGGCCTTTTCACTCTATGATCACCCGCCCCTGCTTTAGAGCACTTTGATCTTTTTCCTCCCCTTTTCCCTTCCAAGGCTTACCGAAGACTGGAGAAAGAGGAGGGAACTTTTAAAAGGGTTTCAGACAAGCCTCTGCAAATGCCGGTCACTGTGCAGAGGGACCCGGGCGAGTCGTCCCATGGTGCAAGGTAAGCCCCAAGGGACCCCCAAAGCCAGCGCGGGTTGTTTTGGGGGCACCCCCGCCAGGGTTCTGATGGCTTCTCCTGCACCATCAGAGCCTTGGAGGGGGTGCCCCAACACCACCCGCGCCCACTTTAGAGCACTTTGGATGCTTTTCCTGCACCATCAGAGGACTGGCAGGGGGCCTCCAAAGCTGGCGATTGCAGCGAGGGGACCCCCCTGCCAGTCCTCTCATGGTGCTTCCCCAGCTCCCTACCCCTTAAGTTCCTTTTTTTAAAAAAATTCCCCTAGGAATGCATTAATTTTCAATGCATTTCTATAGGCAATGTGGTTTCGCAAGACAATGTTTTCGCAAGACAGTGATTTCCGCGGAACGGATTAACATCGTCTTGCGAGGCACCACTGTATGTATGTTTTCTTACATTCCCCACAGGTGTCAGTTTTTTCCCCTCCTCAGTCACACAGCATTTCATGTTGCTAAGACTGGGTCCCCACACAACTTATTTTTTTTTAGTTCTTGTTTTCTGTAGATCCCAAGGTTATTGTAATACATGCCTCCTTGTGCATGGCTGGAGGAATTTTTGACTCTATTTGCTAACTTCATGAGCACATGAAGAGTTGATCTTTATTGTTCTTTATTAAATTTATATCTTGCCTTTTCTCCAAAAAGTTCAAGATGGTATGCACTACTGTCCTCCTACTCACTTCATAACTCTATGAAGTAGATCAGGATGATAGACAGTTACTGGCCTATGGATCATCCAGTGATATTTCACAGTCAAGTCAGAAATTGAACAAGGTCACCTGAGACCAAGATCAATGCTGCTTGAGCAGATTCTCAACAGGAAAAGAATATAATTTATTTCAACAGTCTGGCATCCATAACACTGTAAGCTCATTTGCTTTTTTTCAAGATAAAAAAAATATAGTTTGGACAAAATAAATGGCAAATCCCATATGGTAAAATAAAAAGCTATTATTTCAGTTAAATTCTTTTATTACCTTTCAAATTCACAATCTGAGAAAATTTTAGTTGCTGTATTTTATCAAAAGCTGCATCCACATCATCCAGGGTAAACAAAGTAAAGTCTTCCGTATTGTGGCGTGACTATCCAAACAAGAACAGAAAAATATTATCATGTGTAATGATCTTATTCACAATTTCAATTGGATTTATTAAGAAAGTGAACTATACCTGGTAGAGATCATACATGAACATCTGCCCCATTTTGTACACTGGGATGGTTGCATAAATAGCACAATTCAATCCCATTTTTCCCACTGCATAGGGAAGTGCACCCAAATGCAAAGGATCAGGATGTGAAAGAAGTACTGCATCAACCTGATGAACATATCTGTAAAAGAAAATCAGGAGATGGGGAAAGTGCATGCTATTCTACTATTACAGAAATTAAACTCTCTCTATGATGGTATAAAGCATGTCATTTAACAAATACACTTTCTGATGTTTTCTAATGCCAGCTACAGTTTGGTTCCTTAATTTCCTTCAATGTATGATAATGTCTCCTAAGGAGAGTTCTTGTCCAGGGATACTTCCATGTAGGGAGTGGGGAAAGGAAAGGAGGCAGAATACTATATAGAATGGAATTAAGGAAAATTGCCACCACTCCCTTGGAAAGACTTCCATGGATTCCCATAAAACTTTTCAGACTAAATGCCTGATGAAGTAGATGTATTCACAAACACTCAAATAAAACTGGTTTTGGGGTGCCACAGCTTTTTTACATTTTTCTTTCTATTTTTTGGCCAGATGACTATGGGAATCCTTCCACTCTACTGGAAGAGGAGACACTTAGGATCCAAGCCATTTATTAGATGTTTAGCATGTTTCAATTTTTAAAAAGCTCTATAATAAGAATTGAGAACAAAATTTACTGGGGCCAAATTTGGATTACGATGAAATGGTACAAGTGTGTTCTTTGACTGGGCAGAAACAGGTCCAACAATCTGGTATACAATCATTCTACTGGCTTTAGCATAAAGCTTGAATTTTAAATATCAGGCATTAATAATCTAAATTTGCACACAGGCATCTGTTTATATTCCCTTAAAATAAGCTCATTTCAAAAATTTAGCAGGAAATGTTTCTCCATGATTTAGAAAGGAAGAGCTCTTCAGTTCAAGCCAGATTCTACTTACTTCCTCAAGGAATCAATGATATCCATAGAAAAATTCTCATCCCAGCCACAATCTAGCAGAAAACGAAACTCATCGACCTGAAGTAAATAACAGAGAGCAGATTCTTCCTGCACCCCTGAGAGGGTGGTTAGCTTGATAATTGATGTCATTCTTTACAAGTAGCTACTGTAAGAGAACAATGTGCATTTTAAAACCCAAAGAAAACATTTATCATAATGCTGCTCAGTACTTTAACTGCATCAAATCCTAGAAAACATGATGAAACAAAACCCATATTATCTATCCACCACTTTCACCAGTCTCTGTGGTCAGCATCTTCAGAGGACAGGAGTTTAGAACAGCCTGGAAAACCTACAACAACTAAAGGAGCTTTTATTTAAAAAATAATAAATCTACAACTGAGAAATGAAGAAGCACTGTGGAACTGCCTATTCAGTCCAGTCTTTAGGAGAAATGAACAGCATCATAAAGTAAATCAATGCAGCCAAAAATCCCCTTTCATACACACTTCAAAATGGTTCAACCAAGCTGGTGAAAATGGATGTTATCCCAAACAGAAATACAGAAAAAAATACAAATGTAGAAATAGGACCACTAAAAACAGCAATAGTTTACTTACTGACCAGAGTAGGGGTGGTATTTTTGGAATTCAAGTACTCCCAGTCCCATAATGTGGTGGGAATCCTCAGGGTGAGTTATGGGATTCAGAACCCTCACACCAACAGGAGATAGAGCAGCTCCATCACCTCCATGCAGATTCTTTGCCATTTCTTCAAACTGTTAGAAAAATATCCCTCTGCACAGCCCCCATGGAAACTCATTGCATCTTTGCAAGTCACAGGAAACCTTCTTTATCCCCATATTGAGGCAGGGCACTTTTCTAACAATTCGAAGACACAGTGCACAGGTGATGAAGCTGCTCTTCCTCCTAGCAGATTTAGGGCTCCCAGTCCTATCATTGGGGGGGTGTACTGAGGACTTATGGGACTCGGCACCCTTAAATTCCAAAACTCCCATCCCTAGATGAGAGTCATCATCATCTTAGAACTTCAAAGTGTAAGTGTTATGTGACAGACAAGTTTTAAGAGAGGCTGATAACACCCTGCTTTTGCATTGCCTGCCTTCCCAATCTCTCAAACTGTGGCAACAGCTGAGGTTCCTGCTGCCACCCGTTGCCATCAAAATTCAGCAGCAACTGTGGCAGCTCTCTATGGGGCAGGAGAGTGCCTGAGTGCCTTCCTGCACAATTCTGGCGGTGTGCTTCTATCAGTGGTACCAAGCTGGAATAAAAGAAGCTACAAAAATAACTCAAAGGGGGAGGGGAATGAAGCCCATGTGCTTCCTGTCCTTGCTTTACAAGGTTTTTATTAAAAAAAAACTGTAGATGCACTCTGTCTAGCTACTCTCTTTCACTTGAATGATGAAAACAAAGACACTCTCACAAACAAATTTATGAGTCAAATATTACAAACTGTACAGTCCCAGAAGAAGGGAACGGTAAACCACTTCTGAGTATTTGCTACCTAGGAAACCCTGAAAAGGGTTGCCATGTCCAAACTAACTTGACAGCACACAATTATTATTATTCCTGAAATCTATTGCTAACATGTGATGATAAAATAAATTACTCTCTACTCCACTGTAGGCAACAGTTCCTTATGTTTGTCAACAGACAGATTTTTGCTAATACAGATGTCACCAGAATTTGGGTCTTTTTTAAAAGCACAACAGGAATTTCAGCATTCTGATTCATCACATATAAAATCATGAGTCTATAAGATCTGGCTCAAACAGATTTCACATATGGCCAACTGTACTTATGCCATACATGTGACATAGTGTGTAATGTAGTGACCAGCATTTTAAAAAAGCAGCCACTCATGTATCTTTCAAGTAAATCCCCAAATAATTAACTACAATATACAAAATTCATTATACGTAAATAAACTTAAACTGACATGAAATAAATATGTCTGGCACATGCTGAGTTGCATGTAAGGGATATTATAATATCCCTTACAGTCCGTTTGAAACCATTGTAGATTCTAAAGCTTCCATACTCAACCTTTTTTTGCCACAAGCATAAATATAGGCAAAAATCAGGTTTGTATACTGTAAGTTGCATAAGAAACCTTGTAAGGTGGTATGTGAAGGATTGTGGCCCCTTCAAATGCGCCAAGGACTCCCAAGGCCATATGCCCCCTGTTGGGAATGGCTGCT